TTCACCTTGAGGATGCTTAAACATTTCTATCGATTACTTCCCTTTACTCTTTACTAAAACCCCTGGGAGCCGGGCTTTGGGCGGGAGTTATCAAGACAGTGAAGAGCATCCTTAGATGCATTATATTATTAGCACTCTGACGCCAATTGAGATTCACATCATGTCAAACTTTTTCAAATGCAATTCTTTGAATATCTGTATAATGGATCCCAAAAATCTTACAATTTTGACAGAGCAGCAGATAGAACGTTGGTTTTAGACCTGACGGTCTTAGTAACTCAAAAAGACCAAAACTCTCAGAATGAGCTTTGTCGTTCCAAGAAAGCAAAGTACCAAACTTTTTATCTCGGCCCAAACTTTACTCACTGGCTATAGCAGACACCACAAATCATCCAATTCCTTAATTTGTTTGTTTCTAACTTTGAAATGTTCTTCTCTGCAGAAAAACAAATTGGTCATTGTGAGATCTGTTATTGCTATTGTTTTTGTTATTATTATTATTATTATTATTATTATTATTATTATTATTATTATTATTATTATTATTACTATTATTATTATTATTATTATTATTATTAGTTCGTCAGAAATTTCGTTTTATAAAAGTTCCATAGATAAATAAAGAAAGAACTGATGAAACAACGAAAGGTTATTATTATTTTGTTCTCCACATCTGTCAAATGACATAATACAAACGTCAAGGTATACAAAAATCTAAACGAAATGAAGTACACAAGTTTTATATGAATAAGTTACATCAGTGCATCAGGTCTTGAAGAATAGATTGTATTACATGTCAGTTTTAATACTGTAAAGTTCAACTAGCACACGACTTATGAGATAAAACACTCTCTCTGTCTCTCGCTTAGTAAACCATTCACATTGTCGAAATATTCGCATAGTATTACAGTAATCGTAAATAAGTGTTTGTACACTGATTATTGACAACGATTGTCCATAACAAGATAGTTCACTCAGCCAAAAAGTGTCCGCGGAAGCCCGCGCATTGGTTCAGATGTCACTGCAGTCTCTGTTTTGAAGCTCTCTTTCGTTTCTCCAGAAGAAAAACAGGAACAGCACTGTTTGTTACTTTCACTTTTATTGTTTTTCACGCAAGTAGGGTAACTCTGATCGCAAAGTCCACACTTTTTCTAAAAGGGCGCCACCGAATTTTGAGGACACTTTTTTTAATTGGCTAAAAGAGAGGAGTGAACAATCGTGTTATGTACGATCTTTGGTATTGATCAAGCGAGATAGTAATTGGCATCCACAGTGTTGAAGGGGTCAGAAGAATAAAGGGTCTATGTCGCAGTGTGTTTGGGGCTGGTTTTAAATTGACGATTTTTGATCAATTTATGGTATCTGGACTTTTTACATATTATAATACTCCAATCACATGTAAATCTAAAAAGTGCTTACTCTTTGTGTTACAATCACCCTCTTTCACATTTTCTGTCCTAGAACTTTCATTTTGCCTTTTATGTAACAGAATGTCCTTTTTTCTCAAAATTTCAATTTTTGAAGTTTTTTCAGGTCTCCTCTTTTTTCTTTCTGATTCCAATGAAATTTTCAGAGCTTGTTATTCATACCACAACCTCACTTTATACAGGTGGAAAGCAAAATCGATTTCTTCATAAGTGAGATACATGGATTAATATGTATTCGAATTCAGAGGCATGAACGGCTAGGTCAGTTATCCATCTCTACCTTTTTTTCCGATTCAAGATATCCAAGATCCCAACTGTATAAACTTTTGTATTATGTATATCTATCAATGAATCAAATTATAACAAATTTGGTTTTTAAATAAAAAAATCATTTTTATTTGTTATGAAAGCTGTTTATTTTCAATATGGCGGTCGTTACCATGGCAATCGTAGACTCAAACAAAAAAAACAATAAAGTTACATTTTAGAGATGCTTTCCTGTTATACCTCGATGTTATAAAGCTTATCTGAAAGGTCATAGTTACTGAGATAGGTTTATAAACCAGCCCCCCCCCCCCCTTTTTACTCTTTGAGAACGCATTTCTGTTTGGGCTTTAAAAAAGAAGCACAACTTTATCAATCCATTCATAATTTTCATTTCTCTTTTCTTTTTTTCTGAATTAATATAAATAGGTAGGCAACAATATGAAAACTCTGGGATATGCAATTTCACGTGCTGATTATGCGTTTAAGTTCGAAATGTGCTTCTATTTATATAACGCTTTCGGTTTGTTGCTGGTTGATCGGGCTCATGTGTCCGCTGCGTCATTTAAGAGTTAAAATAGAAGTCTGAATGACGACACGTGTCAAGGGAGATTACAAAACAAAGTCGCAGAGTTTGATAAGATAACAGCTGACGGCATTTAATAAAGCAGAGTTGTGTACCTTTACAAAATACCTTAAGTCTGTGTGAGGCAGCGTGGTGGAATCAGGCTCTGGTCAATTTTTGGGCATGTAGAGTTATTGATATCATCGTAAAGCTTGTTCAGTTGTGTTTATTTGGAAGAAAAAAATATCTATTTATCTTGAATACAAGTCGAGATATTTGCGAATGAAGGAAGTGGGGTCACCTGTTTTCAGAGGTAAAATTAGTGAGAAAATGGCCACCAAAGATAAGTTATTTCCTAGGCTTAGGAGTCCGTGGTAACTGGAAATTTACATTTTTTGTACCTTTAATCAACGTTTTTCTGAAAAATCCACACAGAAATGAGTTCTTTAATGGGCATGAAAAGTGTTGAGCCAAAAAACAAAAATTTGAGAAAATTTAACAAACCCACAGAAAAAGCAAGTTTCTTCACTTTGATTATTTTGACGAGAGCCTGATTTCACCACGCTGCCTCACCTATAATTTAACGTGATTCGGTCCCACAACTTTGTTTTGTTTTGTTTTTGTTGCCTTTGTCGTTGTTGTTATTGTAGTCGTTGTTGTTGTTGTTGTAGTTGTAGTTTTCTTTTAATTTATTCTCGAAACGACCTTGTATTTCATGCGATTTAAACCCCTTATTTTTCAGAACTCGTTACTTTCATTATTATAGTTTTGACTCCCTCGTTGTTTCTGTCTGTTTTGTTTGCATTGCTTATCCGATGTCGGTCCATTCTTCCACAGAAAACAACTGTTTTGTTAGTGTATTACTTACTCCGAGGCAGAGCTCTCTCTCTCTCTCCCTCTCTCTCCCTCTCTCTCTCTCTCTCTCTCTCTCTCTCTCTCTCTCACACACACACACACACACACACACACACACACACACACACACACACACAAACACGCAAACATTCTTTCTCTCTTTTTCTTACAATATATATTATTCTAGCCCTCTTTTTCTCTTTCTTTCTTGCTACTTACCTATCTCCAGCCTCTCTCAATCTTTATCTATTTCTCTCTCTTGCTCGCTATCTCTCTTTCTCTCTGCCCCCCACCCACACACACATACTCTCTCTCTCTCTCTCTCTCTCTCTCTCTCTCTCTCTCTCTCTCTCTCTCTCTCTCTTTACCTCTCTCTCTCTCTCTCTCTCTCTCTCTTTCTCTGTACTTTACGCATTGTCTTTACAATGAAAAGATTAACACTCACAACCACTGAGAAATCAAACATGCACACTGAAACACTCACAACACACCCACGAACAAGCTTACCACACACTCACGAGCACACTTACAAACAATATGAACTAACACCAAACTAAATATAATATTACGTCTTCTGAAGAGAAATCAAGGGGTTAATGTACAAGATGTTAACCCTATCTCTCCATACAAAGAAAACATACACATTAGATAATATTATTATGTGTTGACTGTGTTCGCCTTATTTTACATTCATATAAATGGTGTACATAATATGCATAATCACACCTTGACCTCTTGTGACCCCCAAATATGTTACAGACAACGAATCATTAGTGAAACCAGCGTTTAAATATAATATTATCAAATTAGATCAAAGAGGTTATATTTAGTACTAGGGTTTGTGGCAGTGATGTCCCCCACGTAAACGAAAGGGGGTGCGAATGTCCACTCTGGATCGCTTAACCTCAAGAGTAAGACATGCGCAGTTCAACAGACGAGTGAGTACTTTTTGAGACTCACGTGGAGGCGTCTCGGCGGTCCTCAGAGGAAATCTACAAGCTTGCACTGAAATGATGGGTGGTGTTTAATATAATATATTAAAGCTCGTTGGGAGCAGCGTAGGTGCTCAGTTTATTAATGCAAATGAGGGCACGCCTGTTTTGCCGGTGAAAGTAAGACGTAACGGCATCGAGCTCTAGTATCTTTATATAACCTCTTTGGATTGGATCCTTTTTCGCCCCGTCTTTGTGTCGTGCATCATCAGCCAGACGTTGACTCAAGAAGTGTACCCCCATTCTCTGTACAATGCTCACATTTATAAATAACTTCCAAGTCAACAAGAACTGTTACCGCACAATGAGCGTTGTTTTAACATTTGCAGCTTTGATTACCACCAAAGTTTGGCATTTAGGTGGGGCTGGGGAGGGGGAAAGGGAGGGGGGAGGGTGACCATGTTCGACATGCTTTTGCACAGATGCGGGCTACAAATCCTCGATAAGCTGTTAAAATATACTACGCCCAGAAAGCAGTATTTTACTGGAGAGAGAGAAAAAAATAAGTGTTATACTTTTAACATGTGTACCTACTATATAAACAAAAGGCAAGTGTTCCAAATGACAGGTAGTGAAAGATTCATACCCTCAACCATCAGAAAGAGACTTTTGAGACAACCTTTGTTCGCATAAAAAGACATTATGATTAATTAGAGAATCTGCTGCTTTGTTGAAAGATAAAGAGAAAAGAAGGGAGGTAAGGAAGACAGAGGAAAACATACACATACATTACGGCCTGAACAACTTTGCAACAGATAATACAATGAGAAGAACTGAGCTGATCAGGAAGACAGACAATGGGAAGGAATTGGGTACCAAGGTCGCCAATGTCTGCTCCACACCTTACACTTGAAGTTGTGTTTTGGTTTTCCTTCTTTTTTTTTTTTTTTAAATTTTGGAATTGAATTTCGACATGCAAGCGATACCACAGTTTAAAAAACTGGATTTTTTTTTAAAATCACACTTTTGGGTTTAGCACATTTTAACAGCTTGCTGAGGAAATGTTTATTGATACAATACTAATAACTGTACAACTGCATTCATTTCATTTGTATAAATAAATTAATATCTCAACACCGCTCCCACCATCCATTCCACCACCATTATTTTGTACCCCCCTTGAATAATTTTTTTTTTTTAGAATAAAGGGAAAAAAATTAAAACAAACAATGAGAAAAACACTGACAACTGAAATGGAGAATTGAGTAACGTGTGACTTCCATGAGCTGTGGGTGGATTCGATTCGGTTAAAACCGGATGATAACCGGTTCCCGCGAGCCGAGTCGACTCCAGCGGTTCCCGTAGGGCGAGTATATCCGGATGAGAGAGATTCGATGCTAGTGGTGTCGGTTGTTGCGAGGCAGGGCGCTGTGTCAGACTTCTGTGTGTGTGTTGACGTCATCAAAGCCGTGGCTCCCGCCTACCACACTGGACGGGCCTTTGTAGGTGT